CAAAATTCAAAGGAATCCAATAGTATACTTCAATTAGAAACTATAACCACTCATTAATCATTTTAGCCATTAAAAAAAATTAGTACATCTCAAATAGAAATTTAATGATTAAACTTCAAATTAACTATACAAACATCCAACTCACATAATCAAACCTTAAATACTTTCGCAATAAAAAATTGTAGAACTAAATCAAGTGAATATCCTTCTTTACGAATATAAAACTATTTACCATAATTATAATATTTTGGACTAAATCCATCAAAATAAATTCTCAAACATTATAATCCATAAATAATTACTTCAAAAGTTCAACATATCATTTCATTCCAACTCTAATATTCTATACTTTTAATTCCAACAATGTACATTCCTATTCCAATCTTAATCCATGATCAATGATTCACTTAACACTTATCATATAATTTCAAAACCTCATTAAGTCGAAGGTTTTTTTCTCTAACCCATAGGATCTCCAATGATCAAATTATTCTCTTAAATAATCCTTTAACTTATAAAATATGTCTCATTATAAGTCACATCGAAAATCTCTTCAACTTATAAAATCGCATTATATCAAAGTAATTACACTTTCTCTTAACTATAAAATCTAAAAGTAAAATAAATACTAACCAAAATAATTACACCAAGAATTCATTAAATCATTGATTTTTCAAAATTCGTTGAAACTTTAACTACTCTAAAATTTATTGAATCATTTACTTATACTCATTACTATAGTCTATAGATCAAAGTTATGTCATTGAAAAATCATCACAATATCCAAATATCATCATCTAAATTCTTAAAAATCTTTACATAGTATATGGATCATAACCATACTTATAGAATCCTCTTTCAACCCAAAAATCATAAGCTACATTCTTGAAAAATCACCGTTAATCTAATTATCATAACTTAACTTTTTAAAAATCTCTAAAGATCATAATCGTAGTTCTTAGAAAATCTTTAAAATCATACTATAAACTTTTTAACATCTCACATAGCTTAAGGATCATAACCTGAACTCTTAGAAAATCTCTAATAAACATAACTTAGGCTTTTAAAGAAAATCTCCTCATAGTCTAACTTTTAAAAATTCTCTAAATATCGTAACTTAAGCTCTGATACCACTTTATGTCACACCTTGAGACCAAGTCATAACACGGTCATATTACCTTGAAGTAAACCCCAAAGTAATACGAAGCCTTATTTCTTAATCATTCTAAAATTCTTTAATAAATTGATATAGTCTGTCCAGTAAAATCTATATCTTTAATCCAACTAATGATACATCTCTAAATATTCAAATACAAATTATATAAAATACAAAATCATTTCATAAGATTTCATTAGCCAATATTATCTCCGATGACTAAGTAATCTTTCCCATTTGATCTTTTAGCTTTCACAAAACTAAATAAACTTATCACTTACTCATCTGTAAAGAAAAAGTAAAAGGAGAATAAACAAACCATAGCTCAGCAAGTATAGGCTTACATACCTTACCAGATCAAGTATCATTTTCATATATATCATATAGATCATTCAAAATATTTGTCAAATCATAATGTCAAAATATTTCAAAGATCATCATTTTGTCAAATATTTTATAAATTCATAAATCAATGTCAAAACATGTCAATTCATCAATTATAAATCATAAATCACAATCAAATACATATTTCATACAAATCATGGATCAATATTTAAAATCATCATAAATCATCATTATCATTCGTTTATCATTAGCTATGATCTCCGTTATAACCCGTGACATTGGTCATATCAACAATTTTATCCTCATGATCATTGCTAACTATTATAACTCGTTAGCCATGGCCTTACACTAACTACTATTACCCATTAACTAGAGTCATATGATCATGTCTTTGTTAATTACTATTACCCGTTAGCAAGGATTGTAGAACTAGTTCTGATATCGATGATCCCACTTCCCAAAGATGTAAAAACGTAGCCATCATAAAATCATTTTTTAAACATAAATCATTTCTCATTTCATTCATAAGTATGATCCATCATTTATATAGAAAAAGCATAAAATAATCATATGCTTGATCCTATTTTCATATATTAAAAATAAAAAAATAAATATTTATTCATTTAGAAATGTACATATATACATAGATTCAAAAACAAGTAAAATGTGTGAGATTTTACTTACTTCTTTTCGATTTCACCACTTAGTTTTTTCTCCAAAATAATTAATGGCTTATTCAAGATCATTTCAACATGACAGTAATTAATCAATCCATTTGAGGCCACTTTTACCAAAACAACTAAGTTAAACAAGAAATAACTCAAGTAACTAATTATAGCAGCCTACGCTACTTTCACTAAAATGATCATATCTCAAGCTATCCAACTCATAATTAAAATCTTTTTAATGCATTAGAAACTAGACTCGATAAGCTTTCTAACCATATATGGCCCATCTCGTGATTTCTTGTGGATTAATTATAACAATTTTTGCAATCAACGTCAAATGCTGCTGCCAGACAGCTTATATACCTTCTAATAAAAAATTATGCATTTATTCATAGGAAACTCCAAATTCAATTTTGTTTGTTTCGTTGGAAAGTAAACTCAATAAGCTTTCCAAGCATATATGATTTAATCTGTAATTCCTTGTATAAAAATCAAGACAATTTTCATAATTCAACACGGATGCTACTGTCTTACAACCTATATATCCTTAAGTAAAAATTAGACAACTCTTCATAAAAAACTTGAATTCGACTTCCGTTTGTTTCATTAGAAAGTAGATTCAACATGCTTTCCAACGATATATAATAATTATAGCAATAATCTATCCATTAATACAAAATTCTATTTTTATTTACTATTACAAATCTTAGTATCTCATCTAAAAATAGAATTTCTTCTTCAATTTTTAAAAATTTAAATCTCCACTTTCGACCTTTAAACTCCATTCAATAATCATCAATAAATCTTAAAAACATAAAATAAACAAAGTTCAATAATTTACCCAAATAGATCATGAAGATTAATGAAATATTTTAAAATTTTCTTGATTTTTCTTTAAAAACTTTAACTCCATAACCAAAATGGTATATTTTTCTTAAATAAAAAGATGGTATGTTCTTACCTTTAGAGGATTAACTTGATTGTAGCTTCTAATTTTGAATCTCTAACTTGATTTTTCATATTCTCTAATTCTAAGGAAGATAAGAAAAAAGAACTACTATTTCGTTTCTATTTTTCGATAGCTAAGTTTTTTTTTTTATTTAATAACTCAACCCTTTTTTCTTTTACTAATTAGTCTCTTAATAAATTAATAGCTTTTAATATTAGTTTAGCCCTAAATTTTTTTTCATTTAATAATTTAATCTTTTTTTTTATTAATTAATCTCTTAACAAACTGATGAATTTTGATAGTAATCCAGTTCAATTATTATTTTGGGCTGGGGTATCACAAAAATAGAGGAAGTTCGTTGAAGAAATGGCTAGCCTTCCAATCAAAGCAATTCAAAACCTTCCAAGAAACACATGGTCGAACTTGAAGCTGTGATTGATTCCCAAGTCTGGCACGGCAGCATTCTGTTTGTTGTTAATTGTTATCATTTCCTTTTTGTGCATCTATGTGTGCTTTCTCTGTACAATAACATCAGATGGAAGATTGCTATGCCATAGGTTTTCGTCAAACTTCTAGCATAGGCTCTTGGGAGATATTTGGGGAAAGAATACTAATAATTAAAATTAGGCCTTGCATTACTATTAGGCATTAGGTATAATTTTGGTAATTTTTGCAGCAATATACTCGGCATGTGGCTTCTCATGAAAGCTGGCAGATAGAGCAACTAAATGCGCGATGAAGCACCGATGGTAGGTTTCCCCCTGTTGATTTCTGATGTGATTCATCATCATTGAGTTTTGCAGGAAAATCTATTTGGATGGGCCACATGTTGGTCGTTTACCATGTACTTTTATCACCATAAAAATGGGTTGGATCCTACTTAAATCATCTGAGCTGTTTCACAGACATGCGCAGATTTATGGCCAATCAAGCTGCCATATATTATATATATATTGTGTTACTACATTTTGAAGTCAAAAAAACTTTGCAATGCAAAAATGTTTATTCCAGAATCTTCCAAAGTGTGGTGAGATGGTCCCACTGTGCAATGGCTTTGGTGGATAAGGTGCATGAGTTGGAAACATCTTATGAATTTAGCGGTATACAAAGTAATAGAATCCCAAGCAACTAAATCAGGCTTAACTTTAAAAACTGCTAGGGTTTCTTGGTGACAGTTCTAGGTATCCAAATCCAATCAAGTTCAAAATAAAAATTTCAGCATTTACAATTTTTTTGTATTATGATCAAACTATGGTATATATATATATATATGTGTGTGTGTGTGTGTGTGTGTGGGGGGGGGGGGGGGGGGGGAAGTAATCCGGCTTTTCTAAGGCATTTTCTTCAAGGAGAGGGAAACTAAAGTTAAAACCTCGTAACAATATTTTGGTGCGAGTATGACCGGTGGACAACAGGGCCCTGGGTCATCTTGAGGTCTAATCTCTAAAGAGAGTGATTCGTAGAGTCTAGTAGTGACCAACCAATCATTCCGTCTCAGTTCCCACAACTTCCAAAATTTAGGTGATATTTTACTACCGGTTCAATCCTTCCGTGGGGCAACTTAAAGTAGGAACATTTGCAACTTTGACAATGATAATTCTCCAATCTGTGAATGATATTCTAATGCAAACAATCCTTAGTTGGCAAGTGCCATCAAAATTAGTGAACAAATGCCTTCAAACAAGTTCCAGCATCTTGTTAATCGTAACAAAGTATTTATTATTATATTATTATTATTATTATTATTATTATTATTATTATTATTTCCCTACTGAATTCCTTTTCTCCCCAATGCTTAAACCAAACGTATTGCACCGTTACATCAGGAAGATAATAGCTGTTGGACTGGACATTGCAAAAGATATGGACAGTGACTGAAAGAAATGGACTTATTACACATCTAAGCACATTAACACTTGTGACATACTGGTTAAGCTGAGGCTTGTACCAGGGGATGGAGGATTAGGCCGGTAAATGCCGCCTTCGTTCATCGTTCAAGTCAACAAAACAACATTTTCACTCTTCTTTCTATATTGTAACGGTAGGTGAAACAGAGAATAATCACCAATTGCCTGAGTGTGAATATGCTTTGCACACAGTTATGTCTTCCAAGTTTCTGGGTTCTTCCTCTGTTCCCGCGTGCACCTGTTTGGGGGAAGGGAGGAATAATTTGATGCTTAACGGTAAGCAAAGAACAGAAAATGCGATGATTGCTGACTGTTTCCACTCATCCAATGATAATCGTTCATCGAGTTAACACCGAACCCCACAACAAACGACTAATGGCTACATGAGCTAAACGCGACAGATAAGTGAAAAATGGCTAGCCATTCCCTGAATCTGTTTATGCACTCTTGGCAATTCTATAGCTGTTTAGGATGCTGCTCTCACGTTTTTTGCAAGAAACTAAGGCGGAAATAGATTTAATACCGTATTAAGGTCATTTTAGAATAGTTTTCGTTTACAAATTTCACATTTTATAATGTCAAACATCTTAGTGAAGGACTGATCTTAAAAATCTCGAGGCCCTCCAAAAAAAAAAAACAGCAATCATATTGAATGTACCGTACATCCCAAGCGCATCAAGACCCAAAATTTTATCTTAGATTGACAGTCACGTGCATATTCAGTAATCTTTTGTTTCTTGACTTATGCCTTCTCCTTAGCTGGTGTTGGTATCAGATGATGCAATGCTGTTGCCTGGACAACAGCACTTGGATTGGGATCCTTGACTCGATGAGACCCTGATCGCCTGGGATTGAAATTCTGGTCCACTACACATGGTATTAAATTCCGCAATGGCCGTGGAAGGTGTCGCATCAGTCTTGTTGAACTCACAAGCAAAATGACGCCCATCATGATAAATGACCTGCAATGGGAAAAATTTTCTGGTCAACTACAATTCATGACAAAAATGTTGAATTTGAGCTACAAGAATATGAAATCACAAATGATTGAACTTAACAAAAAATGGTTACATGAAAATGATCAAATGATTTAACTAAATACTATTTATATCTATCAATTTAAATAAAACACATGGCAGTCTCATCCAAACTTTTTTGATTACTTTAAAATGAAAATTGTGGGAGAGAAGGTTGTTAAAGTGGATCATATCAACCAGAGAAGCTTTTCAATGCGTAAACTCCCCTATGGTATGCAACAAGTAGCAAGCCACCTGAGAGAAGATGTTCAGAAGCCATGCATTGCGAAATTTTGATAAAGATGTTATTGTTGTACAATATGAGTGTAAAAATTAGGTTGTGCACTATATACCATCCAAGTAGAAGTGAAAGACGAGCAACTGGTGCTGAAGGCAACCGTTCGCCCAATGCAAGCATACCAGCAAGTACACCAGTCACAATTGATGCCACAGCAGCACATGTGGAGATCACAATTGCTCTACCATGCTTTAGGCCACGAGTCTGCTCAAAAGGTGTAAAAAGATTAAGTTATAACTATTCAAAAGGCTCAAGTATGCAGAAATAGTTGGTACAACCATGTAAAAATTAACACATTAATGGACACGGTTAAACATAAATTTCCTTACAATGAACATTTGCTTCCACTAAATCATAACAAAAGTGAACCAAGTTAAACATGAAATCAAAACATAAGTGGACCATGTTAAACATGAATTCCCTGAATCACTCACATGATATGAACTTGTTACACAGGACAAATATTTTGCTTGGGCAAAAAGGCTAAATAGCTTAAGGCAAGGATATCAACATGCTCAGAAGTTATCATGAACCATTTAGGTGGCTGAAATACCTGGTAGTAAAATCCAGTACCACTACAACATATGCTGATTGAGACACATAGAGGAATCAACATTTTGGAGAAGCCCTGCTCCACGAAGACAAAACCCATCTTTGATATCACTGATGCCATTCTGCAAACAAATGAAACTCCATTTAAGCTTAACATCTAGAACCACAATAACACAAGTTTTGACGCAGTCCATACCAATGCTACATAAAATTTTCATTAAATGGGTAAAATCCCCATCACGAGATAAATTATGAACCATGAAGAGCAAGGATAAGAAGTACAATAAAAGCAGTTCAGGTGAAAAAGGGTACCCAAATAAAATTCCAGATTCCAAGCCATATATGATTTCTTCAACAACTTCATACTCCACCTGCATGAGAAAATTTGTTAACAAATGCACTACAGTGAGGGGGGGAAAAGAAACAAAATGTTTCATAAGTGAATACTATTACAGAGTAAAAGCAGAATAAATCTTTAAAATTTAAGAGAGTTTACCAGTTCTTGTTCTCTCCTTTGACGCTTGCAGATGCGAAGCCACCCATTTAGGAGCACCTGTATAACCATATCTAGAGTATCAAAGCATTATCACAGAATGGATTACCACAATATAATCAAGGAAACAATAAAATATTGCACAAGCATGACTACAAACATGTTTATAAAACAGAAGATTATGAATCTAAGACACCAAAAACTATGGATAGCCCTTTAAAGTTCAATGGCTAACATCAGCATCAGGTCTTTAGTTTTTAAAATGATTCACCTTCACTACACTTTAAATTTCTTACATTTTAAATTCAATGAAAATAAGCCTCAACAGGAATTGATAATTCATAAAATATTTGGAGTTCTATAGGAGAACAAGAAAATAGCTTCAGTACTGAATTTACAAAAAAAATCATTCATCAATAATAGCCATCATCATGGCACTTCAATCTTGCACCTTGGAGGAGGGAGACACCAGCAACAAATTAATCACAATCGAGGCCATATGTTTAAACTACAAATCCTATTATGTTCTCTACGGGCTGAGATTTTTTACTTGGTTTAGTGTACTTGTTTTGTTAGATTAACAATGTAGAATTTATTGATTGGAGATGTCCTTCAGATAACTTCTAGAAGTTCTCTGTAAACTCACACCTTTTTTGGCATAATCCATTAAAGCTTTGAATCTCTTAAAGTGATGAAATGCTCCATTGAACTTAGGAATTTATTAAAGTTTCAAGTTGGCAAGCCAAGAATTTAATCATAATATAGACTTAGACTCTCACAGGATCCTACAAAATATTTCTGATAATGAAAACAATACTATCAGATAAGAGTAGAGGAAAAAGGTACCTACAAACACGATCACAACAACGAATGCCAACCATGGTAACTGTAAAATAGATACTGAAGAAGCCTCTTGCTCCTCTCCACCAGCACCAACTCCTGAATGTACAAAAATTGAAAGAAGACTGTTACTATGTATAGGGTCAATAGTATTCTGTTGGGCTATCATATGGCTCAAGTGTATGATGTTTCCTTTTGCAAAAACTATAAGCATAACCATCAGGAGAGGTTGCATTTTACAGAATTAAAACCCTTAAATCATTGACAAAATACAATTTGAAGATGCCAATAAGGTTCAAATAAATTACCTGATGCTTTTAAATTAAAATGAGAACTATCATGTCAAATTCTGAATGTACTCTCTTTCTAATAGTACCTATATGGTTGATTCCAAAGGGAGTAATCAAATATAAGAACCATGAAAAAATTGCATTACCTATGGTGCCAATGCCAGCTAATGTAATCCCCATCCAGTCAATAACGTTCATGACTTCTTGTAGATAGAAGTGTGAAAAGACGGATAGAATGGCAAGCCCACAGCCAGAAACTGGTTGAATAACAGATACCTGAGCAATATTTTTGCCATCAACAAGATAAAGAATACACAAAATATATACTATAAATCATCATAAAATAATATTCAATCAATGTGCAGCCAAACATTGGCCATCATGTAGTTAAAGTAGTAATCTTCTATTTAATAAAGTTACACAGGAACATAAATTCGGTTCATTGCATAACCAAAGAATCATTAATATTAACTCACCGGAGCCAGAGATAACGCTCTCAACATCAACAAGGCACCGCATATATCCATCAGAAATCCTATCACCCATGATTTATTAACAGCATATGCTCTTATCACCTATATAAAAACATGCATAATACTACAATTAGTCATCACCTAAACCAAACCCAATTCATTATACTTCTATCTTAGAAAAATAACATCTTGCACAATGTCCATTAACAATAATAAAAAAGGAACCCCATTACAAAACCTGATCTCAAGCTGCAATTGCTAAGGCTGAACAAAAACCAAAAGCCAATACAAAACAACAAATTTTTTATGACCAACATCCCAAAAGTTGTACAAAATGAAAAATTCCAGACCGAATCTACAATAGCTTTAAAAAGTTTTATAACAAAAGAGAGATACCCAGAAATAGAAAACAAAAGACCCACACAAGGAAATGGTGAAAGCAAAGAAGAGAATTGCCTTGAGCTTGAAGGAGAGAGGAGGGAGAATAACAGTGCCCTTCTTTTGTAGAACTTTGCCTATGTTATTACCCGCCGTTGCTGCCAATGTCAAACAGATCGATTCCCACATTTCTTCTTCTTCTTCTTCGATATCTCCCTGAGATCAATCAAATAAAAAAAAAAAAAAAACTTACTGAAATTGAAAATCTCCCTTCTCTCTCTCTCTCTCTCTCTCTCTCTCTCTCTCTCTCTCTGGTGGATTGTTTTCACCTAAAAAACAGAAATTTATAGGTCAGCCGGTGGGTTTGCCGCCGCCTTACGGCACCTACCCTTCTAATAATTCAGGGTTGGCATTTGACAAAGATCATTCGCTAATCCCATGGCATGTTCCCAGTTGCGATTTGGTGTGCTGGTTGATTGAGGAGAGATTGGAAGGAATAGAAACGTGCCTGGTAATAACACTTTTTTTTTTTTATTAACTTGAATCCCGTAACGAGGCAGCAAAATTGGTCGGTAGCTTTAGCATGGTTAGAAGTATAAATGATATATTAGTATTAGTAAATTATTAAAAGTTTAATTTAAATAAAATTTAAATTTATTATATTATTATTGAATTGAGTTCAAATAGCTTGATTTATCGATAGAGTCGAGTTTGAATATTTTTATATCCGATTTAAATAGTTTACAAGTTTAATCAAATTTTTATATTTAAATTTTTTTTATTATTTTAATTAATAAAATATCTTAAATTTAAATTCAAACATGAATACAAATAATCAAACTTTTATTGAATATAAGAATCGAGTTTATTTTAATATATTAATCGAACTTAATCGAGCGAGTTCGAGTAACTCAATTTTGATTATAAATCGAATTCGAGTTAAAAAAATAAAATTCGATCGAATTTGAGTCGAGTATCGAATCTCGAATTAAAAATTAAATTCAAATTCAGAATCGAATTCGAATTTAAATTTTTTTATTATATCTATTCGATTATATTTTTAAACATAACATGACTTAATCTGATATCGATCGTGTAAGTACAATGCATCTTATTATATTAATTGTGCCAAGTCAGGTCCGATCTTCTTAGTAGTGCAATGCGCGATTCAGCATTTCAAGTTCTATTGTTGGCTCGGCACGAGCGCATGATTGATTAAGGTTAGCTCACAATACACGTTCAAGACAAGAATATACGATTAATTAATTATTAAAAAGATTTATCGATTTTTTATCAGAATGTTTTATTTTATTATAGTAAGATAAAAGGATCTATTCACATTGAAAGGGATCAATTTACTTTTTAAAAAAACTTCATAAAAATTTATCGATTAGATGTTGAATATTGTTAAAAAAGTTTATATCATTGAAAAAAATAATAATTTATATCATTAGATGAAAAACTTGCAAATTTTATTATTTTTTAATTAATTAATTTTTGTAAATTTATTTATTTATAATAAAAAAAAATTTTCCTATTGATGTAGACATTTTAAGACGAGTCATTTAAATCATGTCTTTAATTATTTCATAACATGTCTTTAATTATTTCATAACATGTTACTAAAATAATATATATAAATAAAAGAAAAAACATGCAATTTGAAAAAAAATTAATGTAAAAAAATTATAAAAAAAAATTATTTGATGGCTCGTAGCTTAGCACGACACAACCCATATTATTTTCAAACCATGGACCATGCTAGGTCGAAGGTTTTTTAATGAAAACCGTGCTTGACATGATTTATACTTTTTTGTGTTGGGCCCAACCCGACTCATTATAATGATGTGCCGAATATAAGATTATGCTAAACTGACTCATTACCCATTTTGTCACCTTTAATCTTATAAAAAAAGATATTAAAAGAAAAAAATGTGTTAAGTGCTTATTTAACTGATAATTAGTAACAAATAATAAAATAAAAAATTATTTTTAATAACAAAATTAATAATAGTGCAGTTTTAACTTTTTTTGGTAACATTTTTTCTACTTTTTGGATAATGAAATATTATTTATCCAAAAAATAAAAAATTTACATATTATATTATTTCTAATAAAATATATCAAAATTTTCGTTTTTTTCTTATCATGTTTGAATAACACATGTAAATGATAACAAAAAAAATGTAAACATAATATTGTTACTATTTTATGTTAACAATTATATATATATATATATATATTTCTTATCAAATTAATGAAATGATAATGAAAGTAGTAATATTACTTTGCATTTCTTTGTTTCTTGGCAAAAAAAAAACTTTGTATTAGATAAAGTAACAAAACAATATAATTTGTTAATAAATAGATATAAACATAACAAAAAATAATAATTCTATTTTTTAATAAATTTAATAATTTTTGTGATTTATCATCGTTATTTTTCTTATATACATTGATATATCTAATTTTTTAAGTATACATATTTATAACATTTTTTTAATGCTTGAAATTAACATTTAAAATTAGTTTAAACTTTTGTGTAGGATAGAGCAAAATTCGATTAAAATAAAAAAAAATTGATAAAAATTAATTTTTTTAGTAAATTGGATCAGGTTAATTAGATTATACAAATATTTCGATTATTATTTCAATTTAAATGATTAAAACAATTAATTTTCAAGTTAAAAATTGAAAACCAACTAAACTGAAATAACCGATTTAAATCAAGTAAATTCACCCTAAATTGATTAAACTGACTCAACATTTCCTAATTTCCTATTTTCCCTTACTGACCTACACTCATCTTCTTTGATTCTCACCCATTTTCCCTCTACTGCCTTGGCATTTCACGACTTCCTTTCCCTCTCCCTCTTGTCTCTTAAATCTTACTGTCATTTCACAGTCCCTCTCTTTCTCCCTCTCCCTCATTACCATCAATCTCTTCTCTCTTTTTAGCCTAACACTTCTCTCTCTCTCTCTCTCTCACACATTCATCTCACATTCCTTCTCCCCCTCCCTCACAGTCATCGATCTCTTCCCTCTCATAGCCTCATACCTCTTTTTCTCTTTCTCATGCTTACGCACACACTCATCTTCTTTCCTCAGTTTCTCAAGCTCATTTTGCTTTCTGTCGCATCGCTTTTCCTTCTTTTCTTAGATTCCTGTCGATCCTACCTTCTCTTTAACAGTGTAGAAGGTCTGCACTTTTTTTTTCATATTTCTTGCTTATTTACAAGTATGGTTCTTGATTAAAATTTTGCTAAATATATTAAATATATACATACATATATATATATAAACATTTCATCTTTAATTTTTTGCTTATTCAAAAATTTTGGTTCTTGTTTAATTTCAATGCTAATGGTCGGACTCAAAATTGACTCTTACTTTTTTTTGTATGCGAAATAGCTAAATGCAATTTACCTTTGCCCATGCTTAAGATAGCAAGGTAGAAATAAATGTATGCTTATTTGCTTGTTTTATCATGCTGATGAGATTACTCGTATAGTCTTGAGAGATAGAGAAACAAAAATCAGAATTGACTAACCCAATAAAATCGATCGAGACCAATTAGTTTAAGGATATATCCAATTAGTTTAAGGATATATTAGGATAAACAATGAGATTGATTATAGTAAGATTGAAAATAATAATAAAAGTAAAATTGATTACTATAGCAATGCGATTAAAATCAATGATAAGAAAGTGTTTGAATATAAATGCACACTATAAGAAAATGGAAGATTAGTGACAATTTTGTAGTGACGTTTCACTTATAAATATCGTTAGCTTCTATATTTTTATAAGACTTAAGGCGTTTATTATCAAAACACCACTAAATATTCAAATAGTGACGTTGTTACTTATAAACGTCACTCAAGACTTGATATTAACGGTGTTTATCGACTAAAATACCTTGAATAATCCTATCTTAAAAATTTAAGTGAATACTAAAGGCGTTTTTGACAGAAAATGATTTGAATAATCCCGTTAAAAAATTAATAGGGAATTACTGAAGGCGTTTTTGGTAGACAATGCCTTCAATAATCTCCTCATAAAAAATGTATGCGATTATTGAATGCATTTTCAATAAGAAACGCCTTTAATAATTCTACCAAAAAATTTTACAGGATTATTGAAAGCGTTTTTGGTCAAAAATGCCTTCAATAAATATCATATAAAAAATTTTGGATTATACGGATGTTAACCATAAGGTAATAGGTTCGATCCCTCCCTTTAGCTTTTTTAGGGTTTTTGCAAAAATTATTTATAATTGATTATTATAGGCGTTTTTGCGTTTTCTAAGCAAAAACACCTTCACTAATTTCTCTAAAAAATTTTGGAGAGAATATTGAAGGCATTTTTGGCAGAGAAAACCCCCTTAATAATCCATAAAAAAATATGAAACCGATTCTTGAAGGTGTTTTTGACCAAACTCGTTTTTAATAATCTAATCAATAAATTTTTAGTATGGATTATTAAAGGTGATTTTTTTGTCAAAAATACCTTCAATAATCCATACATAAAAGTTGGAATGGATTCTTGAAGGTATTTTTAACTCAAAACTCCTTTAATATTTCACATGATAATTTTGAATGGTTGGATTATTGAATGTGATTTTTTTGAAAAATACCTTCAATAACATTTTGTTAGAGATTATTCAAGGCATTTTTGGCAAAAAAAATACCCTTAATAATTCATACCAAAATATGAAACGGATTATTGAAGGTATTTTTTGTCGAAAGTGCATTCAATAATTCATTCAATTAATTTTTAGTTGGTATTATTAAAGGCGGTTTCTTTTTAAAATGCCTTCAATAATCCATACAAAAAAGTTGGAATGGATTCTTAAAGGCGTTTTTAGCCAAAAATACCTTTAATATTTCACACAATATTTTTTTAGATGGGATTATTGAAGGAGATTTTGGTTAAAAACGCCTTCAATAACATTTTGTTAGGAATGATTCAAGGCATTTTCTTATTAAAAACACCTTCATTAATCCCATCAAAAATACATTTTTGATATTGTATATGTCAAGTCAGTTGTAGGTTTATGCCTAAAAAATATTTGAAGTCAGTTGTATATTTATGACCAAAAAACATTTAGTTTATCTATGTGATACTACGAATTACATTTTAGAATTTACACAATTAACATTGTTGTATTTCAATAAATTGACCATACATCCAAATTTAAAACTGATAATGTTGTCATATTAATATACTTTTCTGAAATAATCGTACTCAATAATATATTAAAGACATATAGTGTATTCATATTAAGTATACCAATAATATTAAATCAATATCCCAATTTACAAACTTAAATTTTTCATTCAACATGGCATGTTAAAAACATTACAACAATTTATTCCTCATATATTTACATTCAATCAACAATGTCTAACTTCAAGGTTTATCAACACTGATAAATGATAATACATACTCACACCATTTTTTACGAACTTCATCTAGTTCCTCTATCGTGAAGCTTTTTTTACCCTCCTACTAAAAAAAAATCAGAAGTAAATGTTAA